TGGGCTGCCCCAGCCGCCGCTGCTGCCGCCGCCTCCCCCGGGCTCTGGCCTCTTCCAGGCCGCGCCGCTCGGGCTTGGGCTCCGGCTCCGGCCCAGCGCCCGCCGCGGGGCACGCCGGGAGATGCAGTCCGGCTGTCGTCCGCGCCGCCGTCACCGCCCTCGGCCCGCACGGAGAGCCGCGTGGCACGCCGGGAAATGAAGTCCACAAAAGCCTCAAAGTACCACGGGAATGACAGGTCGCGCTGTACGTCGGGAAATGGAGTCCAGGGTAATCTGGCAGCCGACTGTACGACGGGGAGCCCTGAAGGACTTTGGGAAGCAGAGAGCCTGATGCCGCTGGGAAACGGAGTCCACTCACTCAGTCTATTGGTTGTGTATGCGTCCCAGAGCCCGGTGCGCTCTGGGAAATTGAGTCGGCGCGCGTGAACCTGCGGCTCTCCGGCCGTGAAGCAAGCCGGGAAATGGAGTCGTCGCCACGCCCTCACCGCATTGCAGGTGTAAAGAGATTTTTAGAGCACGCCGGGAAACGGAGTCCCAGTTGGTTTCCAAGCCCCAAGTGGCTACTGCAGTTCCGGAGATCGGCGAGGAAATGGCGTAGGTTTCGCGCTCCCCTTCCCAGGTACGCTAGGCCGCAGTACCTGCCGGGAAGTGTAGTCAACACCAAGGCTCTTAGAGCAGTAGCCACAGAGAGCCCTGGTGTGTTCTGGGAAATGAAGTTCCAGGCATCCTCCCCATTGACTGAGGGGGCGGGATCGCCTAAGAGTTCCAAGCGTGCTGGGGAATAGTCCAGACCTGACCTTTTGTAAGGCCAGTCTGCAGAGGCTTGCCGGGAAGCGGAGTCCAATGGCGACGATTGGGGGCGTGTGAGCAAAATTTAGAGGCTGCAGCAGTTCCCTGGAGAGACTTAAAAGTGTTTCAGCGCCTTCTTCCTCGCCCCAGGTCCTTCTTTACGAAAAAGCCGAGGTCGGTCAAGGACTGCTGGAAAATGGAGCCAAGCACCTTTAAGTTCCAGGTGATCATAGATCAAGAAAGAAAAAATGTCCCCTCTCTTGCCCCCCCACCCCCACAACTGTGCAAAGGATTCAGGAAAGAAAGTTTTCTGCGGTTTCTCAGAACACGAGCCGTCGGATACAGTCTAGCTTTTCCTAGCAATGTGGTTAGCACCAGAAAGCTTATTGGAACATTAAAAAGATTGAAATATAATTTCTGGGCCTGGCGAGATGGCTCACGCCTGTAATCCCACCACTTTGGGAGGCCAAAATGGGCGGATCACCTGATGTCAGGAGTTCGAGACCAGCCTGGCCAACATGGCAAAACCCCGTCTCTACTAAAAATACAAAAATTAGCCGGGCGTGGCGGCGGGTGCCTATAATCCCAGGTACTCAGGAGGCTGAGGCAGGAGAATCGCTTGAACCCGGGAGGCGGAGGTTGCGTGAGCCGAGATCGCGCCACTGCACTCCAGCCTGGGTGACAAGAGCAAGACCCGTCTCAAAAAAAAAAGAATTCTGTCTTGAACCCCATTCCGTTTTTGCTTTGTGTGAGACAAGGTCTCGCTACGTTGTCCAGGCTGGAGGGGAGTGGTGCGATGATAGGTCACTGCAGCCTCGAACTTGCAGGCGCAAGCAATCCCCCAGCCCAAGCCTCCCATGTAGGTGGGACTACAGGCGTGCACTACCACGCCCGGCTAATTTGCTTTCATTTGGTTTGTTTTTTGGGGGTGGGAGTTGAGGGGAGGGCTTCGACATGTTGCCCAGGCTGGTCTCCCAACTCTTGAGCTCAAGCGATTTTGCCTCAGCCTCCCAACGTGCTGGCATGTCAGGCTTGCGCCACGGCACCGGGCCTCCCACTCTGTGTTTTGGGTCCTCTGCTTCCTAAATTGCAGGATCCCAAAAAGTAAAAAACAAGCCGGTTGCAAAGAGTAGCCTCAGGTTTTGCGTACTCAGTGAGTCGTCCTATTTATCGATCAATACTCGAAGGTGAGTAGCCCCAGAAGGGCGCTGGGAAACAAGTTCCTATGTATGTGTGTGTCTCTTTCTCCCGGAGAAATAATTAAAACTAGAATGAAAACGTTCTCAGCCCCTCCCGCCTCCTGGAATGGCGGGAAATGGAGTCTCTGGACTTCACGTTAATCCGAGCTTGTATTCCTACTATCTGTCCTGTCCTTTCTGAAGCCAGAAGAAAGTCCTGTTCTCTCAGTTCTGGGTTTTTTGTTGTTGTTGTTGTTGTTGTTTTTAAAGACGGGGTTTCACCATGTTGGTTAGGAGTTTTTTCTTGACTGCAATTCCCAGCGGACACAACCGCGGGGGACGGTAGCGCCAAAGCCTGTTGAGACTACATTGCCCAGAAGGCAAAGTGCGGACACACTTCCGCTCCCTTCACAAAGCAGGCGGCAGCACCATGCGCACCTCGGCGCGGGCATCTCTGGGAGTTGTAGTTTCACAGCCAAATGGGGCCTACTGCCCTCTGATGGCAGCGTTGAGTCAAAAAGTAAAAATTTGAGTCAAGCCCTTTGGCCTAGGGATTCCGACACCCAACCAAGGCTCACAAGGGCGGCGAAATGGGATGGGATAGCGGCGGTTACTTAACCGCCAGAACCCGTGGGGCATGCGCCGTAGGCTGCGCGTGGGCAACCGCCACTAGGGGATTGGGATCCGTGGGAGTTTGAGGGTGACGGTCTGAGATCCATCAGGATGTTTGGAGAGGGTGAGAATGTTCATAGAGGAATGCTAGGAAGGGTTGTAAACGTCTGGAAGGGCTAAGAGGAGTCCTAGAGCTGTGAAGGGGTCTTTGATGAGCTTAGTGACCTGAGGATAATTACTGGGTGAAGAAGCCTGAGGGGAATTAGGGTGTCTGTTAAAAAATCTGTGGGTGGCCGGGGGCGGTGGCTCACGCCTGTAATCCCAGCACTTTGTGAGGTCAAGGCAGGTGGATCACTTGAGGTCAGGAGTTCGAGACCAGCCTAGCCAACACGGAGAAACCGTATCTCTACGCACAAAAAAATTAGTCAGGCGTGGTGGTGCACTGTAATCCCAGCTACTTGGGAAGCTGAGGCACAAGAATTACTTGAACCCGGGAGGCTGAGGTTGCAGTGAGCTGAGATTGCACCACTACACTCCAGCCTGGGCAATGGAGTGAGACTGTGTCTGGAAAAGAAAACAAGAAAAGGTCTATGGGAGACAGAAATTACTGGTGATCAAGGGGATCTCTGAGTGACCTGAAGGGGTGAGAAATGGTTAGGAAGCATCGCGAAGGGGCTTTGAGAGTCTGTGGATATACTGGGGCTACATGTACAAAGCAGGGAGGTCTCTGATGAGATTAATCTGTGAAGTGCTTTGAGAGCATCCGTAAAGGGCTTTCTACTTGGAAGCAAGGATCTCAGAGGATATGGACAGGACCAAGGGTGTCTTCTTGCAGAAACATTTCAAGCCCACTAATGGATTTAGGTGGGCAATTAAAGGTTAGAGGAGCCGCTGGAGTTTTCAAGGCCAAATGCCATCTGTGACATCCTACACAGCCAGAATCTGGGGCAACTAGTCCGGTAGGGCTGTGGTCTGACCTGGACAGCAGTTAGGGAGCTGAGCATCTAGGATTCCGTGTTAGTTAGAGGTGCTTTAAAGGCACTGGGGTCAGGGGATGAGGCCAGTAGTCAGGGTCCTCTCCTCCCCTGAGTGACAACATCCTCTTCTCCATCATCCCACCACCAACTCAGCTGCATCTATGTTGCCAGGAGACATGTCTCATCCAAGCTTCCAGAAATAGCCCAGTGGCCCCCACCCCAGAGTATGACTTACATCACCCAGGAGAGGGAGCAGTTTCCCGAAGGCCGCCTCAGGAGCCTCGATTTCCTACCAGTATCTAGCTCTGTATCCTCTCTTCCCTGCCAACCGACATCATCTGGGACCACCCACCCTGGCTGGCATGAAATGAGATCCAAGTGGGTAGCAGTTGCCAGTCAATGTTCCTTCCCCCCTCAGGGTTGCACAGGGTGGAGTTTCATGGTGAAGCAAGTCCATCTTGTAGCAGCTGTGTGGCCTCAGGGAAGCCCCTTCCCCTTTCTGGGCCTCAGGCACCTCACCTGCAGAAGAGGCTGGCTTGTCTCTAAGGACACTTCCAACCTGGATTATTATTCCTAATTCTTTCGTCCCTGATTCAAGCTCTCCAATCTCAGCTTCTATAGCTTTATGAGCGCATCTCAGATCCTCTGACCCTGAAAGCCTGATCTGGATCCAACTATCTTGGTGTTAGGAAGCAAAAGTCAGGAGTTGTTGAAAGAACATGGGCTTTAAAGTCCTGGCTCAGCCTTAGGGCCTTGGGCAAGTCACTTAGCAGCACTGGTTGCCCGTACCTTACTGGATACTGAGAGCAACAGCACTGCAGCTCGTAAGTACGGGACACACAGTAAGTCGACAGCATCGATGACTAACTAGTAAGCCAGACCCTTCACTTCATGTTAGCTTGGGGTGTTCCCCTGGCTGGACCAGATCACTAAGTTACCTTGCAAGGTCTACATTTCAAGAGATACTGCAGGCTGGTCTCCAAAGAACTCCCAGTGGAACTCAGAGCAACATGAGGGGTTTGGGCAGGGTACTAGGGGCAGTGCCAAAGGGAGCTCCTGGTCTTCACTGGGGACCTGGGGTTCGGGAAGAATTCTCAGCTGCAAGAGGGAAGGCATCCAGCCAATCGAAAAACAAGAGCATCAGGGTCGTTACAAAGAACAGTAAGCTTCCAAGGACAAGATCCCCATGGAACAGAGGAGCAGTCAAATGAAGCCAGTGCACGCTCAAGACCACTATCATCAAGCTCTGGGGCTTCTGTGCCTCTGAGGTCAGGAGATGGTTTCCCAGGCCTGGATTTGGCCCATTCGGATTAGGGTTAGGCCCTCTATACCAATCCAGCCACAGACTCACTAGCAGCCAGGCTGGGGCCCCTCCTTCAGAATCAAGCAAAGGCTGTGGCCCGGAGACGCTGCACCTAGCATCTAGGACATTGATCACTGCATCCAAAGGTCCAAAGTTTTATTGTTTTGAATACATTCTCCAGCGGCCCCTCTACTCCCCCCACCCTCAGTCCCCAATACAGAATAAGGCTTGACTGCAGCCCCCCACCCCACCCCAGAGGCCCCAGCTGGGAGGCAGAGGGGGCTTCCAGTTTGGTTTCAGGGACCCCCTTCCCATCCCCCCACCCGCCTGCCCATGGGCCAGTCCTAGGAGCAGCTGGGGTGAAGGGGCTGGATGGGTGCAGGGGTGGAGTGGGAGAGGGATAGCAGGCACTTGTTAAGATTTGTGGCCCATGGGCGGTACCCCTCACCGCCCTCCACCCCCCTCCCCAAACACATGGAATTTTTGGTTCATCATCAAACTGTCCCTCCCTCCCCTGCTGTGACCTTGTTGTGTATGAGAAACCTAGGCACTCATGGCCCCCTGGAGGGGCAGGGCAGGCAGGGCTGGGGCTGAGGAGGGCTAGGGATAGGGCAGAAGGGAAAAGGTACAAGAGGCAGAGAACAGGGAGGGAAACAAGGCTTTACTTCCTAAGCGATTGTAATAAAAAAGTTCCTGGGTGTTAAGGCCAGAGCCTCAATTCAAATATAAATTCCCCAGAATGGAGGTGGCCCCCCTAACTTCCCCCTCCCTCCCCGCTACCACCACTTTGCCCAGAGCTTAGAAACCCAGAGAGACAGGGAACAGCCCCTAGCTCTGGGCACCCACCCACCCCCACCATTTAAAAAAAAGAAATTAAAGTTTTATACAAAATGTGGGGAGGGGGAAGGGAGGAGGCAGAGAAGAGACAAGAGAGCTGCCCTCACCTCCAGGACACAGGGGGCTTAAGGCAGCAAAAGAAGCATGGGGGGTGGGGGGCACAGGGGTCCCCTGCCCACAGCCCTCAGGAGTCTCGGTGCTCCAGGGAGAGCTGGGCCGTGGCATGCTGGAGGTCAGAGCTCACTCGCCTTGGGGTGAGGGGCCCCCCAGCCTCCCCAGGTCCCTCCCCACGAACCTTCTTGTCCTCGCCCTCATCCTCAAAGACCCCAGTGGGGCCTCCACCCCCTTCCAGGCGACAGTCTTCACTCCAGCGCCGCTTAAAGCGCAGCTTGAGAGGCATGCACTGGGCTGCCCCAGGTGCCTCGCCGGGTTCAGGCTTGGGGGGTGCAGGTGGGGCACGGGGCGTCTTGAACACCTCCCCATCTTCCTCATCCTCATCACTAATGTCAGTCACCTCCACCTCCTCCGACTCGCCTTCTGAGATGGGCTCCACCTTGATCTGAGGTGGCGGGGGCGGTGGGGCCAGCCCGCCTGCGCCACCACTGCTCCTGTCAGCACTGGCTGGGGCCTTGTCCCCAGCTGCCCGCTGTCGGCGTCCGAGTGGGGGCGGCTGGAGCTTAAACTTGAATGGAGAAGAAGAAGAAGAAGAGGATGACGAGGCCGAGGAGGGGACCGGTGGGGTTTCGGGCGCCATGGGCGGCAGTGGGCACTTGTCAGGGCGCTGCGGCTGGGGCACCACCAGCCCAGGGTAGTGCAGAAAGGCGCGGGGGCTGAGGTGGTAGTTGTAGACGCTTTGGGTGTGGGCCTGCAGGTACCGTTTCATGTCCTCAGGGCTGAAGGAGAAGTGAGAGCCTCCCCCTGAGCCGCTGGGCCCCCCACCACCACTAGGGTACATAGGGCTCAGCGTGGGCGAGGGAGTATAGGCCAGGTGGGTGGGCGTCATAGGCAGAGCCGGGGAGAGCTGAGGGGGTAGCAGGGAGCCAGGCCCGGCCAGAGGAGACACAGGGAAGGGGCTGAGGGGTTCAGGGCCACCCCGAGGCCGGGGGTAGACGCGGAAGACACCAGGGTCATGGGGCAGGCGGGCCAGTGGGGGCCCACGGAAGGCACCCAGATCCGGAGGGCCGGGTGGTCGGGCCCGGGGATCCTCTCCCAGTGGTTCCTCCAGCTCTGATGTGCCATCACTACAGTCACTGACTGAGCCTCGGCCCAGGCGGCGAGCTACCACAGCCGAGAAGAGGGATGATGAGGATGAAGAGCAGGCAGGTGGCGAGCGGGGGTCCTCAGTGGGGGACAGCACCTCAGAGGGCGTTGAGGGAGGGAAGCGGAAGTGGCTACCGCCCGACGGCACTGGCGGGGCACTCTGGGGCACTGCACCCCCTGGCAGGGGAAAGGAGACGTGTCAAAGCCCCTGGCCTAGGTTGGAGGGGCACACAGACCCTCTCCACACCAACCATCCCCGGTACTCACCAGCCAACCCCACATCAATGAAAGGGTAATTAACCAGCACCAGTTTGTTGAAATTGAACTTGTAGGTGAACCGTTTCCCCTTGGTCTTGTGCAGAATGCGCTTGTTATAGTAATAGCTGCGGGTACAGAGATGCCAATGGGAGGGTCAGGTACACGGGATCCAGGTCTAGCCTCCACACCTTGACACGCACTTAGGTGTGGTTCCCAAAGGGCCACCGAGGAACATGGGCCACAGAAGAGAAATCAAGTGCCCAGAGGGTAGGTACCAGCTCTCTCCTCGGGTCTAAGGCAGAACTAGATCCATTAATGACTGTACTCTTCTCAGGATACCTCTGTGTTACCAAGGGGCTCAGGGAGGAGCTGGGAGTGGCCCAAGTTTCACAGCTAAGATTTGGCAAAGCCAGGGGTCAGACCCAATGGCTGTTCCCTTGAGCCAGGGGGTATGCAACCAGTGAGGGCCGTCCACATGTGCTCAGGGGTCCCCAGCCCATCCTCACCGCAGGGCCCGGCTCAGCTTGTCGTAATTCATCTGGGGCTTGCACTTGCGGACGCCCCACAGCCGGGCCACCTCATCAGGGTCTTTGATGACGAATTCCCCGTAGTCCCCCTGCCAGGCAATGACGCCCTGGTACTCCTCCTTCCGAAGCAGCTCCAGGATAAAGTGCCACAGCTGGATCTGCCTTGAGCCAGGGGACGACTCTGGCTTGTAGGCCCAATCCGGGAAGGCAAACCCTGGGGACGGGAGGCAGGGAGTGGCTTGGGGTCAGGATGCCAAGTCCAGGGCTCTGGGTCCCATCCCAGAGTCCACCTCTGCCCCACCTTCAACATGGGGAAATCTGTCTTGCCTCAGTCAAGTCAAGACCTGATTTAAGAGAAGACAGTGTGTGTCTGTCTGTCTGCATGTGAGGGGCTAGACAGGAGCTGGGGGGAGGGGAAGCTGGAGCCTACTCCAGCGACACCGGGAGAAACAGGAAACCGTCGGCGGTGGGTCCCGGGGCCAGTGCCAGGGGGCCAGGCACCAAGCCAGGCTGTCGGGCAGGGCTGCCAGTGGGGGAAGGGCAGGAAGGGGCACACGTGGCCAGCCGGGTTGGGGTACAGCCCCCCAGCTTACCCCCACTCCCATCCAGAGACAAATGCACCACCCCAGCTCCTCTGTTCTCCTTAGAAACATGCACTGTCTTCCCCCAAAGATCCAACAGAGCCCCTACTCCCACCCCAGGACCGGAGAGGAAGATTTTTTTTTTTTTTTCTTAAAAGGACCAGGAGGGGTGGGGTGACTGGTTGCCGATGAGGTCAGCGCTTGCACACACAGAGGCTTCTGTCTTCCCTGGAGAGTGAAACCCAGACTGTCTGAGAGGCCCCCCCCACCCAAGCCCTGGACCCTCTGAGCTACACTGCCCTCCCCAGACCCAAGCATCCGGGCCCCACCTGGCTGGAGGACCCAGCCCAGGCCTGGACCCTCTGAGCTACACTGCCCTCCCCAGACCCAAGCATCCGGGCCCCACCTGGCTGGAGGACCCAGCCCAGGCCTGGACCCTCTGAGCTACACTGCCCTCCCCAGACCCAAGCATCCGGGCTCCACCTGGCTGGAGGACCCAGCCCAGGCCTGGAGCTTGAGCAGGCACTCTGGAGCTGTCATCCTCTTCCCACTTCTGTCTTCTCATCCTCGGCTCCTTCCCTGCCCACCTGCCTGCCTGCCCGCCCCCAGCATTAACCTTGGGTAGAGGTTGGTGGTGGGCTGGCTGGTCTCTGGAGGGGGTGGGCAGCCTGGGGTGGGGGGTGGGGGGGTTGCGGTTGTTGTCATTTCCCAAACCCCCGGGTAATCAGGGGCCATCAATAATTCAGCACCAGGCAGCCGGTAATGGAGGGGTGGGAGGAGGGAAAGGGGAGGAAGGGAAGGAGGGGGGACGCAGGGCAGGGGCCGTGGTGCCACTAGAGAGAGAAGTCCAAGGTGGCGGCTAGAGATGGACGGCTCCCAAATCCAATCAGGCTGCAGGGGTCAGCAGGTATCAACCAGGCCTCCAGGCAACACAGCCACCCTCAAAGACTCCACCCCAGTCTGGAATCCAACAGGGGATCATTCCCCTTGGGAACTCAGGGAATCAGTAGTTCCTGCTCCCACAGGGACCACCCCCTCCAAATCCAGAGCTCACCGTCCCCCACAGGGACCCAGGCCCCAAATCCTGGCCAGACTGGGCTGCAGTATCGCATACCCCATGGAGTCCCTGCCCCATTGAGATATTCCAGCCTTCCATCTTCCACCGGGGTATGACCTCCCGCTGTTCACAGACCAGCACCAACAGCCCCTGTTCATTTAAAAGTGACAGCCTTTAACAACCCCTTTCAGGGACTCCAGAGCCCCATCGCTCTCTTGGGAATCTAGGTGTTCACCCCATTATCCTCACCCTTCTAGAGAATTCAGATCACAAGGTCTCCTGCAAGGCCCAGGGTCTTTTAGAAGCCAGGTGACCAAGCCATCAGCTCCATGGACCTCACATCCCCTCCACAAAGCTCCCGGCCCCTCTCAGGGCACCAAGCTCCCCGCTACTTCCATCTCAGCTCCAATCTGGCTCTAGAACCAGAAGGGGGGCTGAAGCCCCTGAGACATCAGTCTGGGGGTAGGGGATGTACTGACTTCCACCCTCCCCCCAAAATTAAAGCCACCCTTCCCAGCCCACCCGCCCCAGCCTCCGTGTCCCGGTAACCAGGCAACGTGTGTGCAGCGACAGTCCTGGGAGCGGGGGAGCAGGAGGCTAAAAATAAACTTTGCAGAAGAGAGGGAGTGAGAGAGACTACATGCAACACAAAGGGAACTCGGAAAGGAGGTGGGGGGGCTCTGGAAAGGCCTCAAGCCGCATTCTGGGAGCTGTCCCAGGCCCCCTTGTTAAACCCCTTCCCTGAGTAACCCCTCCTCCAGGGTCTGGACCCTGGCTCCCACTCCTGGCAGGGACCCTTCCCCACTCCCAGGCCCACCCCAAGGATGGCTTTCCTAATCGGACACAGCATACATGAGGGCCTGTTCCTGGCTTTGGGGGGGAGAATGAAGAGGGGGTGACGTCAGGGTGTCTCAATGGGGCTCTGTTCCCCAGGCCCTGGAGCCAGGAGCCAGGCACGGGCAAGGGGAGCATGTGTGAGTGTGTTGTGTATGCGTCCACGTGCTTAAAACAGGGAAACACCAGACCTGCACAGAGGAAGCTTGGGGGTGTGGGACCTCAGGAATATGGGGGCCAGTGAGGCAGGGAGAGAGCAGACACATAGAGAGAGGGGTTCACAAGACTGCGAGGCAGGGTGCAGAGTGGCAGCAGACAGACAGGAAGGGCTGGGATGGCGAGGTCCCGGAAGCACACCTGGGTCCCACAGAGGCGGGGTAGGGATTCTCCCAGACAGACTGCAAGCCTGGGGGGACAAAACTCCTGGGCACCCCCCCAACCTCACGTGACAGCCCAAACTTTTTTTAAGGGACCATGAGGGTCGGAAGGGAGGAGTGATGGTAGAGGAACAACACGCCGGCCTCCTGGGGGGCCCCACTACCTCCCCCACTTCAGGCAGCCCTCTGTGGCGCCAGAGCCGGGAAGAAAACAGGAAGTGGGAAACAGCCACGGCAGAGGAGAGAGGGGCCGGGATGGAGGATCGGATGGAGGGGTGCGGAGCGGCAGGCCAGGAGGCAGATGGAAAGATGCACCGATTGGAGGCCATTCAAGGCCTCCTGCCCCTCTTCTCCCCCCCGCCGGAGAACCCACACACTGCTCGGCCCTCAGACGGGGTTGGGGAAGCAACCAGCGGGTCCCATCAGGCCAAGGCCGGTAGCAGGGAGGGAAGATGAGGCGGGGTTGTCTAGGCGCCTCGGCCTCCTCTTCGGACCAGAGGAGGCTCCTGCTGCCCCCGGGGCCCAGCGGCCCAGGAGCGAGTGGAAGCTGGGGGAGTCTGTGGGACGCACGTGACTGACCCTACAGCACTCCGCACCCCGGCCCCACCTCCAGGGCCCCTCCTCGATCCCAATCCCCTGCCCTTTAAGATTAAGCCTCCCCCACCCGCCGAGCAGGGGGATGGAGATGGGGTGGGGATGGGGTGGGGTGGGGTGGGGTGGGTGGGCCGGTCGGGGCATACACCCGCACACTGGAGCCCGAGCCGCCGCCGCCGCCGCCGCCGCCGGGGGAAGGAAACAAGTTTGAACAGCGGCGCCCGGCCCCCTTCCCCCTCCCCCGTCCCCGCCCCGGGCCGGATTCCGACGGGGTAGACGGGCAGGGGGCGGCTGGGACCCCTCCCCCTGCGCGCTTGGGCGCAAAGTCCAGCCCGCGCGAGCCCGGGGGCGGCGGGGGAGGGGAGGGGGAAAAGTCCGAGTGGGAGGGGGGTTAATCCCGCTGCCCCCCGTCCGCCGACCGAGGGGGAGGGGAACCTTGGCCCCTTAAGGAGGAGCAAGTTGGCGGGGAAGAGAGGGGCGGAGGGAAGAGACGGCCCGCTGAAAGAGAAGAGCTGGATCCGGGAGGGGGGATAAGGGGGGAGCCTCTGCGTCTCCCCCCACCTTTTCCACCCTCCACTACCCCGGAGCCCCGGTGGTGCGGAAGGAGGGTACCCAGGTCTCCCCGGAGCCACCTTAAAGCCGCGCGTTCTAAGGTCGGAAACAAAAAGTTCCTTTTTCGAACGTTCGGGCTGCGCTTTGGAACTTTGCGACTCGGCGAGGGCGGGGGAGCGAGGAGCCGACTGAGGCGGGCGGGGGAGGGGCGGCGCAGCCCGGACCCCGAGTCTCGGGCTCCCCACTCACGCCCTCCTCCTAGAGGCCATCCCGTATCCTCCGCTAACCTGGTGCGGGGCACGCGCTGCGGTGAAGGTCACCAGCCGGACCGCGAAGCGCAGAACCAGGGATAGCGGGCCCAGTGGACGAGCCCCCCCCCCGCCCGCACACGTCCCGGCCCCCAGAGTGCAACGTGACAAGAGCGGAGGGGAAGGACCCCGCCACCCCCGTGATCCCAGGAGTGGGAGAGAGCCCAGCCTGCGGGGTCCCGGTAGGGATATAGGACCAAGATCCGCAGCAACCACACCACTCTGCCCAGAGCCAGGAATCGGGGGTCCCAGGCAGCAACCCCGCTCGCGCCACGAGAAGCAACAGGTCTCGAGTGCTTGAGGGGTCCCCCAGAACTGGGGAATCACTCGGGCTCCCCTGGACCCCTCAGCCCCCCCAAAGTTTCTCCGTTCGATTTCCTGGGGCAACAAGTCTCCCCCACACGTGCTGCCCCCGCCCCCACCTGTGTCCGCCGGGGTCTTCATGCTTGGGGGCCCGGGGCGAAGCGCCCCGACTCCGGGCCGCGGCTCCCGGCGCCCGCGCTGCCCCGTCCCGTCCCGCGCCCGTCGGGCCGCCCTTGCCGCCTCACCCGGCCTCGCCTCTCAGAGCCTCTCCCCTCCCCGCCGCCGCCTCCCGGGTTAATATCGCACTCCGGGGCCGGGACGCCCACGCCCCCCGGCCGGCGACGTCACCGCCGCGTCGCCATGGAGACATTGCGCCCGCCCCCTCCCCGCGCACTCACACACACGCTCTCCGGCGCTCAGCCACTGAGGACCGGCCGGCTCTGCGCTTAAAGGGGCCGCGCAGCGGGGGAGGGAGGAAGGAGGGGGCGGGGGTGGGATGGGGTCCCGTAGGTCGTGACCCTAGTCCGAGGCTCCAAGTCTGCAGATAACTTAAGTCCTCGGCACTCGCTACCTGCTGCCCCTCCTCCTCTCCTGCCCACTGCGGGCACGAGAGTTTCTTTTGGGTGCCTGTATGGAAAAACGGGGGGCCCTTCCGAGGAAATGGGGTTCAGAAACTTTTGTGGGGAGGGGGCAGAATCTTCCCTGCAGAGGGGCGGGGTCAGGCCCTTGGAGGACAGCATTTCCCAGCTTAGTTTTACCCAGCCCCCCAACCCTGAGCCTGAATGGGGGCAGCTGTCCAGGGGTGGGGTGGAATGGGTGGGATGCATTTCCCAGCCACGGAAATGGGGAGGCGGCTGTGCCCTCCGCTCCTGTGGGGATGGGGTCTTGTCCTTCCTGATAGCCCCAGTCCAGCTGAGGAGGAAGTGACCAGAGAATGCATTTGGAAGCCCCCACCGCCACCGTGCCCAGGCTGCAGCTGTCCCGGGGACAGAGCTGGCGCCGGAGGTCCCCCCACCTCCACCATTAGGACCGGGGGTTCCGGAGGCGGGGCCAGGATATGAGGGGGCGACCAAAGTCTGAACAAATGTGCTCCCAAAGGGCACTGAGGGTCGCCAGGAAAGAGGAAGACAGGGCTTAAGATCGAAAGCCAGCGCGTAGGGAAGCGTTAAGTCTCCGTTCTTTGCTTCAGTCGGGAGGGAAGGATGAAGCCTGAGGCTCTGGGAAACAGGAAATCACTGTGCAGATCTGATGGAGCCTGGGAGCCGGCAGCACGGTAGAGGCCAAATAGAAGCAATATTCACAAGCACAGCCTGGAAACAGGGTCTCAAAAAAGACTCTGAGGTTCCAAAGGAGGGGCGTATGGGTGGCGGGCGGATCTGAGGGGCGGGGGTGTGGGGGCGACAAATCCAGAAGATGGGCGGGGAGACACAGACAAGTCACAGATAGGGAAGGCCTGCGGAGCTCAGGCTCCCGGTAACTAGGGTTTCAATCCCAGCCTCCTCGCCTCCTTCCTTGCGGGGTACCTAGTCCGCCTTAGGCGCCTCACCGGTGCCTCAAAAAGAAGTCTCAGGCCTCCTCCTCCCTGGTGAGACCAGGGGCTCCAGGGAAGCTCCCCCCCAACCCCAGAGAATTATGTAACCTTGCCTACGGACAGTGCAGCTCCCCAACGGATATTGTAACCCTCTGGGAGCGGTGTGGTCCAGCAATAATAATCATCATCATTGTTCGAATAACAGCTCCCGAATTCCAAGTGTTCATGATGTGCCAGGCGCCTAGCCAAGCATTGTCAGGGGCATCTTCTCATTTAATCCTCACAAAATCTCAATGAGGAGGAGTTGCTGTTGTTATCCCCATTTACGGATTTAGAAAGTGAGGCTCTCTAAGGGGAAATCAGTCCAATAAATCTCACAGCCAGAAAGTACTGGAACTAAGATTCGAACCCAAATCTATCCAATTCCAAACCACTACATTTACCTCTATGTTTATTACTTCCTTTACTAACCCCTCAAAAAAAAAAAAGCAGTTTTTTGGGGTTTGTTTTGTTTGTTTTGTTTGAGATGGAGTCTTGCTCTGTCACCAGGCTGGAGTGCAGAGGCCTAGGCTCGCTGTGACCTCTGCCTCCCAGGTTCAAGCAATTCTCTTGCCTCACTCTCCTGAGTAGCTGGGATTACAGGCCACGCCCAGCTAATTTTTGTATTTTTAGTAGAGATAGGCTTTCACCATGTTGGTCAGGCTGTTCTCGAACTCCTGGCTTCATGATCCTCCCGCTTTGGCCTCCCAAAATTCGGAAATTACAGGCATGAGCCACCACGCCCAGCCAAATTTTCAAAGATAATACATCAGGGCCCCATACGGTGGCTCACGCCTGTAATACTGCTACTTTGGAAGACCGAGGTGGGAGATAACTTGAAGTCAGGAGTTCAAGACTAGCCTAGCCAACATGGTGAAAATGTAAAAAATGGCCAGGTGTAGTCTAGCACCTGTAATCTCAGCTACTCCAGAGGCTGAGACAGGAGAATCACTTGAACTGGGAAGGCGGAGGTTGCAGTGGGCTGAGACGGCACCACTGCACTCCAGCCTGGGCAGCAGAACAAAACGCGGTCTAAAAATAATAATAATAATAATACATCAGTAACAGACCCAGTGACCCCTACCCTCCCACCAGTAAGACAGAGATCCAAGTTACACCCAACCCTTGCTATTTCTTGTCTCTGATAGGCCAAGTGAACGTTCACTTCTTTTTTTTTTTTTTTTTTTTTTTGATGGGGGTCTGTGTTGCCCAGGCTGGATTGAAGTGGCACCATCATGGCTCAGTAAAGCCTCGAACTCCTTGCCTCAAGTAATCCTCCCACTTCAGCCTCCTGAGTAGCTGGTATTACAGGCACATGCCACCATGCCCAGCTAATTTTTTTTTTTAATGGAATTTCACTCTTGTCACCCAAACTAGAGTGCAGTGGCACTATCTCGGCTCACTGCAACCTCTGTCTCCCCAGGTCAAGCAATTCTCCTGTCTCAGCCTCCTGAGTAGCTGGGATTATAGGTACCCACCACATTGCCTGGAGAGTTTTTGTATTTTTAGTAGAGACACGTGGCCAGGCTGGTCTGAAACTCCTGACCTCAGGTGATCCACCTGCCTCAGCCACCCAAAATGCTGGGATTACAGGTGTGAGTGACTGTGCCCAGCCAACCCAGCTAATTTATTTTTATTTTTTGAGGAGTTGGGGCCTCCTTATGTTGACCAGGATAGTCTCCAACTAGTGGGCTCAAGCAATCCTCCCAGCTTGGCCTCCCAGAGTGCTGGAATTAAAAGAGTCACCCTGCCTGGCCAAGTTCACCTCTTTGAACCTCAGTTTCCTTATCTGTAAAATGCAGGTGTCAATAGATCCTACATGATCAAGTTACTGTGAAAAATCAGAGATGTGGCCAGGCATGGCGACTCACACCTGTAATCCCAGCACTTTGGGAGGCCAAAGTGGGCGGATCATGAGGTCAGGAGTTCGGGACTAGGCCGACCAGCATGGTGAAACCCCCTCTCTACTAAAAATACAAAACTTAGCTGGGCATGGTGGTGGGCACGTGTAATCCCAGCCACTTGCGAGGCTGAGGCAGAAGAATCGTATGAACCCAGGAGGCAGAGGTTGCAGTGAGCCGAGACTGCACCATTACACTCCAGCCTGGGTGACAGGGTGAGACCCCACTGAGAGAGAGAGAAAGAGATGTGAAGTAAGTATGCAATAAATACCGTTAATAATTATTAGCAGAGTGAACTCTATGCCCCGTTATGCCCCATGGATAACAAGAGCACTCTACCCTCCAGACTCCAACTGTAACAACAGTCCGAGTAAACAACAATAAACAGGCTGGCTGCAGTATGTCTGACACCTGTCATCACAGCACTTTGGGAGGCCAAGGCAGGAGAATTGCATGAGGCCAGGAGATCGAGACCAGCCTGGGCAACACAGTGAGACTCTCTCTGTCTCTACAAAATATTTATTTATTTATTTATTCATTCATTCATTCATTCAAGATGGAGTCTTGCTCTGTCACCCAGGCTTGAGTGCAGTTGCAGGCTCTTGGCTCACTGCAATCTCTGCCTCCGGGTTCAAGCGATTCCCCTGCCTCAGCCTCCCAAGTAGCTGGGACTGCAGGTGCCCACCACCATGCCTGGCTAAGTCTTTGTATTTTTAGTAGAGATGGGGTTTCAGTGTGTTGGCCAGGCTGGTCTCTTATCTCCTAACCCTGTGATCCACTCGCCTCAGCTTCCCAAAGTGCTGGGATTACAGGGGTGAGCCACCGCAAATGGCCCGAGGGAGTGGTTCTTTTTCCTTTTCTTTTTTTTTTTTGAAACGGAGTTTCACTCTTGTTGCCCAGGCTGGAGCACAGTGGCGCGATCTCAGCTCATCATTGCAACCTCCACCTCCCAGGTTCAGGCGATTCTCCTGCCTCAGCCTCCCAAGTAGCTGAGTTTACAGGCATGTGTGACCACACTCGGCTAATTTTGTGTTTTTATTAGAGACGAGGTTTCTCTGTGTTGGTCAAGCTGATCTCAAACTCCCGATCTCAAGTGATCCGCCCACCTCAGCCTCCCAAAGTGCTGGGATTACAGGCATGAGCCACGGAGCCGAGCTGAGGGGATGGTTCTTATTGGCAGATCTGTGTCTGTGGTATCCAAAGTGCAGCCCAGGATAGTGTTTTCTTTTCTTTTCTTTTTTTGAGATAAGGTCTGACTCTGTCACCCATGCTGCAGTGCAGTGGTGCAATCTTGGTTCACCACTACCTCTGCCTCCCAAATTATAGTGATTCTCTTGCCTTAGCCTCCTCAGTAGCTGGGATTACAGGCATATGCCACCACACCCGGCTAATTTTTTTTTTTTTTGGGACGGAGTTTCGTCTTGTTACCCAGGCTGGAGTGCAATGGTGCGATCTTGGCTCACCGCAACCTCCGCCCCCTGGGTTCAGGCAATTCTCCTGCCTCAGCCTCCTGAGAAGCTGGGATTACAGGCACACACCACCGTGCCCAGCTAATTTTTTGTAATTTTTAGTAGAGACGGGGTTTCACCATGTTGACCAGGATGGTCTCAATCTGCCAAGCTCGTGATCCACCCGC